AAAAAGAATCTCTTTTGCTTTGTCCGATGGAATAAAGGAGTGTGATTTCTTCAAAATTGTTAATCTTCATTACTTAGCCAAGTTTTTTTAGTGAAAAATTTGCATTCTAACCTGCTTTTAGTGGCCTAATTTTTCAATGAAACATATATTTAAAAAAAATTACTAATTCTAGTTAAATTACAATTTGTTTTAAAAAGTAACTACAAAAGATAGATTTTATTATAATCTTATTTATGTTTTGATACTCAGTTTCTAGTGCACATTCACATGTCATCCTACACTAATCAACACTAAAGATATTACACCCAAATGAAATACAATGACTCGGGGTTTGCAAATCTTATCATTTATTATTGTTTTTTTTTTCACATATTCAACCGTTTATTTTTTTTCCATGTGTAGGGACACTATGTTGTATTAATGTTCGTGTCCATATAGTCATGGCTTGTTGGAAGATAGAACAATTAATCTCTATAAAGTTTAACAGGTAATTACTGATTACCACTCAATCCTATCAGTTGATGGTAAAAATTAAAAAAAAAAAAACAAACAAACTCTAACTATAATATCTAATTTTATTAATTTTTGTTATATTGAGCAATATCAATAATAAGATCATAAACAACTCCCGTCACTACCATTAAAAAAATTTCAGTATACAGATTCATTTTTTTTACAATCCGCTGTAATTATATTGCAGGTACGAAAACACACAAAAACTTAAATGTATAAATCTTTAATTACTAGATTACCGTTTATAATACAAAATCAAGTTTTGTTTTACAAAATCAAGTTAATATGTAGGTTTATATGATCATTGCATTGTCATTTTGTTTTAACTTTATTTCAAATCATTTTGGCATCATGCTAACGATTGGATCGGATGGTTCTCAAAAGCTTATTCATTTTGTTTCTTGTATATATGCTAATAGTTTAACAAATAGAAGAGTTTGATTGTTTGTTTGTTTTTTTCTAATTATTTTTAGATTTTAAATCTTTTGTCAGCCAAAAAACTAGAGATATAATGAGATTGCATATAAGAGATTTGAATGTTAATCAAGTTGTTTGTAAATTTAATTTTTCATATTGTGCTATTTTTGTTGAGCATCTATGGTTGTTTATGTGTTTGTGGCTGTTTCATTATGAAATGTGTGACAATATTTGTAATGGATATTCAGTTTTAATAATTACGGAACCATGTAAAAGGATTTTCAATTATGTAATATATCTATAAAAAATTATGTAACCATTAAAATTAAATTTATTGCATTTTTATATATTTCAACCAATATTATAAATGGAAATTAGATTTTGTTAAATATTTTTTTATCATTATGAATTTGTTTTGGAAGCTATTTTTGCTATGAAACAAATGGCTACGAAATTTGCTATGTATCTCATTGTTACGGAATTGTTATGGAAGTGTGTTGTAGTTAAATTGCTACAGAGTAAACCTCATAGCTAAAGCAAAACTGCTACCAAACTATAATTTGGTAGCTAAAGAGTTTGCTATAAGAAATATATCTACGAAATCTCATTGACAAATTTCGTAGCAACTTTTGTAATTATTCAGGTTTACCTACGGAATTTTTTTCGTAGCTATATCGAAGTTTTCTGTAATTTGTAGTTTTCTCTTTGTCGTGGGTTAGTTGCGAGGAAGAGTTTGTAAATTTACAAACATCCATGAGAAATATTTTTTTGGGTTGCTCATAAAATGGCAAGACTAATGTTATGAATTGAGAGTGTAACTTAAAGTGCCTTTAATCCAATATTTTATTTCCCCTTCATGCATCCCCCACCTTCGTTTTCAACTCTTTAACGTGTGTCGTTGATGCCTCGTTTTCCTAGCAGTGAGCACCACCACGAAAATGTGATGCAGCAAATAAGTGATAGCGACACGAAAATGTTTAAAACTCAAAAGTGGAAATGATATTCAATTGGAATGCTTTTAAACGATTTCATTGAACCATATATACAAGGTGAAATTGAATTCTGCATGACCAAATTTTGGTAACTTATAAAAATTAACCTCCTAAATACACTTTTGAAAATCCAAATTAAGGAAATCGTACAGTAGTCGCACATAAATTTGGGTTAAATTCCATGAAGAATCAAGATGCTTGTCAATGTCTTCTTCTAGATGAATGGTGAAACCGTCTAATTTTATTTTTTTAAACATGTTTGAGTATTTAATCGAAATTAACAAATGATGTCACTGTTTGTCTTTATACTGATATTATGTGAAAAACATATTTTTTTAATAATAAAAAAAAAATTGAATAATGATGTATCACTGTTTGTGTTTATAATGATATATTATGTGAAAAACATATTTTTTTAACAATATAATTAATAATATAGTAATAAAATAATTAGGTTCAGATCAAACTCTTTCATTTTCAACATAAACCTTTTATATAATTAAAAAAAGTTAAAAAGAAAATGAATATTAACATATTGAAGGAGGGGTATTTAGCATTAGAGGGGCTAATATACCATTTCCAAAAAACATGAGCCGAAATCATCACTTTAGTTATTTTGTTGGATATAACTAAAGTGGCATAGTTGATCCTTTGGATAAGATAAAGATAAAATTTCCCACCTGTCATAGTTTTCTACTTTTCCACACCTTTCGAAGAACTCCTTATCCCTTATATAATGTGATTGATGTCGTCCAGTGAACTTTTCAAGTTTTCATAATTCAACCTTTTAATGTTTGGGAAAAAACTTTTTGTCTAATGTTATAATTTGTTACAACTTATTCGCGAGTCTTGATAATCAATCCCTTTCAAAAAGCTCAGAAAAATATCATCTGAAGTAGGTAAGTTTAATTAAAGAGTCTGTACCAAAGGATTGAACACCGATGAAGACAGTTTTACACAATGTTTTAAAAACCGGTTTTTTTAGTTGAATCGGTATGTTGATCGGTTCCCGATTCAACCGGTTTAACCGGTTCAACCGCCGGGTCAACCGGTTTCTATAATTTTTTTTTTTTTCTTATTTTTCTATACATACATACATACATATGTCATGAATTTGACGTCTACAAGTTCAAACATTAAAAATACACATAAAAATAAGTTTTAGATTAATATAAATACATTAAAACAACACATAACTATAAGTTTTATATCAATTCACATACGTCCAAAAGAAAATAAAGTATAATATCGAAACAAAATATAATTTTAAATGAATATAAATGCATCAAAAAACATCATAATATTTACCATATGTTTTTATTTAGAGAAATCTAAATAAATACGAAAAAATCCATCTTTATTATTGAAAATATTTTTTCCATGTATTTTTATTTAGTTTAACCAATTCAACCGGTTTATTTTGACCGGTTCAATCGATTTTTTTCTAAAAACCGGCCGGTTCAATCCGGTTCAAACCGCTTTTTAAAACACTGGTTTTACATTTGTCATGCAAATTCTTCAAATTTAAAGATAACCTATTAAATTTGCATATGATTGCCCCAAGAAATTTGCATTGACATAATATCCTCCCTAATAAATTGAAAATAATTTTATCATATGTCACTTTTTCATTAACTTGAACACATGTTATTTTTTGGTATTTTTGAATATATGTTTTTTCCATGTGTCATTTTCTAATTGTTTGTCTTTTCTTAATCCTCCTTAATAAATGAAGGTTTTTTTACCACTTGTCAATCTGTCATTAGTTTTGATACTTGTCATTTTGTGGTAATTTTGAAATAAATATTATTCACTTGTTAATTTTTGGTTTGTTTTAATTTTTAATTAAAATCATATACTTATATATGTAAAATATTAAATATCATATATTAAATTGTAATAAATACTTTTCTTTCTTTCTTATTTTAAAAATGTACATTAAAAATTATTTTATTTTTATATTTTAAGTTTAATCATTTTTTAATCAACCCATATAATATACGGGTCTGACATCTAGTTAACATATTATATTTACATCTCAATTAATAATTACCTTAATTGAAAATAACCATTAAATTACAATATTACAACTCATATACTATTGAATATGTTTCCTTTTAAATTCAAATTTTAAATTTTAAATTTCAAATTTAAATAATTTTTTGTTTAAAATTTCATATTTAAGTTTTTTTTATCCAACCCGTATAACATACGGATCTCACAGCTACTATATATATATATATATATATATATATATATATATATATATATATATATATATATATATATATATATATATATATATATATATATATACTAATAATGTTTTAACAAAGCACTTGTCTTTGTAGGAACATTACCTTACACAGGATCAAACACACACACATATCTATCTACCTTAATAAATGAAAATGATTTTGTCAAATGTCATGTTCTCATTTAGTTTGACACATGTCATTTTGTAGGATTTTTAGATTTTTTCTTTTTCCACTTGGCATTTTCTTGTGTTTTCAATTTTCTTAAATTTAAAAGTAAATTCCATATTTTATGCGAGTTTATTTATGTTATGTAGAATAATTAAATTAAATTTCAATAACCATACCAAAAAAACCGTACAGCTACAAATTATGCAATAATCAATTCTTCCATAATTAAATGTTTACCTATCATAATTTTCACTTATACAATAACTTTTTCAAAACAAAAAATGTTATGAAATCCAATTATAAACAAAGAAATTAGTTTTCATTTATTAGGGTAGATATATTGAAAAACTTGATTCTTATTATTTTATATTCAACTTTTTTTTAATACACCCGTGTAAAACACGGGCTCACATCTAGTACACAATAAAAGCAAAAACAAAATACCTCAAGTTGGGACAATTTTCTGTGTATTACTCATACTCTAGAAAATAGAAAATACACCCTATTTTATCCTAAGAAAATGCTAAAACTACCTAACAACGTAGTCCTTGCTAAACTGAAGCCGTAAGCCTCTTATTTTCCACAGAATCGGGTCTACACATTGGACCCAAATTACCTATTCAAACCCATAAAGATTACCCAACATTCCTGCTCAAAAAAACGAGCTCTCTAAAGCGTCCTTAGATATGGAAAGAAACGCATCCATCTGTTTAGCAGGAAGAGACAAACCAATTTCAATATCAACCAACGAATCTTTAGAAGCATTAACAGAAATCGAACTATTGTAATCTATCGATATGGTCTCATGTTTTTTCGGCTTCCCCCATCCAAAATCCACATCGTAAATCTTTGTCTTTGGTGTTCCCGACACCCCAGTTGTTTGCACCGGATCGAATGCTCTTTCAATCCATGTCTCCGCATCTTTTAACATTCCATCCTTATTCTTTATCGTTTCACTTAAACCCTTTCCAAGTAATTCAGCAGCAATATAAAACCCTCTCTCGCTCTTTATCAGTGTGCTTGTTGTTGATGTAAAACATGGTCCCACACAATTACCGAAGTAAGTTTGAGGAACCGGTGGGTCCATACGTGACCTCCAATCGACAGCACATAAAAGCCTTTCTAGATCATCCTCGCTTTTCTTCTCACCCATATCATCAACACGTGATTTCGCTAAGCAACTCCATACAAAAGCACATGCCACCGAAAAAGATGATACGTATTCAAGTGTTGGTAGTTGAGTTGATAAGCTTTTCTTTAAGCGATTGATGTGAGCTTGTGTCAAGACAATGGTGGCTCGAACTTTATCTTTTTGGCTAACAAGTTGATGAGGCTGGTATTCAGTATCAATAACTTCAAGCCCCGGTTGACTCATGTATATTTTATCTAAGGAGCTTGGGTATTCGATAACTCTATCATACAAAGGTAAAGATCCACTAGCTAAGTATAACTCATCTGTACCATGTCTAGCTATCGATGTCCACGCCTTTAGGAAATTAGACCTTGTGCTAGCGTCACAAAGAGAGTGGTGATTAGAGAAACCAATCGAGATACCTGCGTTGGGAAAAAGTGTAACTTGTACACAAAAAAGTGGGATTGAAACATAGTCGGATGTTTTCGTCACACGTCCTAAACTAGGTACGAGTTGATAAAACATGTCACAGTTATGAGGATGGTTCCCTGTAAGATCGTGGAAATCAAGATTACACTCGGCAAAACTAACAGCAACAGAGTCGCCCTCTATGTAACGAATTTTGGGTTTTTTAGCTTCTTTTTCAACACATGGATTAAGAAACACGATTAAGTTTCCTGCGAATGGGAGGAAGTGCTGAAGAGTGGTGGATAATGAGTATTTAAGGTTTGGAACAATGGTTTCCAAGAAATGTTCTCTAGAGTGAGGGAACTCGTAAAAGAAAACCTGGTGGATGGGGAAGAAGATTAGCCATATCATGTCGAAGAAAGTAAGCGGGAGAGACCTCTCTTTGACGGTTGTAGGCGGCGGAGATACACGGCAGCTCTCGAGAAGAGTCGACATAGCGGTTGTAGGGTTTGTTTGAATTGAGTGGTTTGGTTTATGACTCGTTTTTACCTGAAGGGTTTTTATAACCAAAAGATTACCAATCAGAGGAAAGGAACGTTAAATCAAAATAATACCAATGCTGTTTTTATCATGAATTTATGAAAGTTGCACCCAATAGTACCAAATTGGGACCTTATGGTGGCACCCATATATGGTTGTTAGGTAACCAAAGTAATTTTGACGTGGTGGTTCAAGTGGTTCAAATGTGGCTCTCACAAATTCAAATTTTCCTTTTTAAATTTTATATTTAAAAAGTTGAATAAATTTTCATAAATAGTCCCTATGACACATTAAGGATATCTTTAGAAAGCATTACACTAATGGTCCTTGTTGTTTTAAATTTTGCATGGTTGGTTCCCATGGTTTCGTTTTGTTACAAATTTGATTTAAAATTACTATTTTGGCCCTGCCTAAATATTTTATTGATTTTTATTTATTATATTTTAATTTAAATTAATTAATAAACGGCCCCTCATTTGTTAAAACCATTCCTTCTTAAAGATCAAGATGTTCACCAAGTCTCCAAACTCTGGTAAAGAACCACCCACCGATCAACGCTCTTTGCTATCTCCGGTCACCACTGCCGCTCTTCACTATCAACTCCAGCATTCTATATTCCCTGTGTTTCTATATAGATAAGTGATGTAACCATGTAGGGTTAAGCCCTAGATTTAGTTTTCTCAGAGGCACCGACTAGATGTTATCATTGGTTGTTTTGTAAGGTTGAAAGGAAGAACCACCGTTGTTGATTCTCATGAAGAAGGAGTCGGGATCCTTTGTTGCCCCTCCATCAGAATCAACCCCCAAAACCACCATAAAGACCTCTTTCGTCTCCATCATTTCATTAAACATCACTAGTGACCTCCTTTCTCCACTGTCACGTCGTTACGATCATCTCCAGATAACGGTGTTGTCGGAAAGTTGTAATCCGCCTGTTTCTTCAAGAACCGATGGAGACATAGAGAAAAACTACAACTAATGGTAGCAAACCTCACGAGAAAGAAGGTCATCGAAGATGGTAACCCTATTCCCTTAGTCCACACTCTCCCTGTATGTATTTAATTTTTAGGTTGGTGCTATTTTTCCAATGTGTTTGAATATCTAATTTTCTGATTTATGTTTTAACTACTATGTATGTGTGTGTATGTGCTTTGTTTCTGAATATGTGTGTGATCTAACTCTAATGTGTGAGTTTTACTTTTTTATTGTGTTTTGTGTGTTATTTTTTCAGATGATGAACATGGTTATAAATTCATGGGTCTAAAGACCATTTTGTTCAAAAGTTAGTGTGTAGGTGTGTGGAAATGGATTATGAAGTCTAACATTATTTTTGATTTCCTGAAACTGAAGATGATGGACGGTTATGACGATGGATTGTGTTAATGGTGGTGGCGTTAGGGCATAGTAAGGTGGCTGAGATGGGTATAATGGAGACAATGTAAGTAAATTATATATATATATATATATATATATATATATATATATATATATATATATATATATATATATATGTTGTGACATGTCGCCAACTTAACTCCATCTTTCCGAGGGGTGGAAATGAAGAGCCTGAGAATCACAACAAAGAAAATAGGAACGACCGTCATCATCTGGGAGGTTGTCCCAGAAAGAGGCTTCGATAATCAAGTCAATAAGAGTCTAAGAGAGAGTGGGTTTAAAGAGTACATAAAGTGTTAAAGGGTTTTAGATTTTAGCCCCTTCTCTTGGGGGAGAAGGGTGCCTTTTATACCTGTGGTTAGGGGGAATAGATCCTCGACAGTATCTTCTACCTATTCAAGTTTGGCAGGGACTAATGGCTTTTGATTGGAGGATCATGTTCCATGGGTGGTTGTTCACTATTAACACAAATTCTGCCAGAAGTGGTGTCCAAAGCATTACACATGTCGCTCTGGGAACTCTTGGTATTGTTTCGTCTTCAACGTTAGCCTTGGCGCTTGGGCACCAAGGAACAGATACGAGGTCTCGAAGGTGAGGGCGTAGGCCCGACGTTAGTCACGCATTTCTCATTGGCCGATTCGTCTGTCGAACTAGCAGTTCCATTATCTTTGACAGATTCCCGGTGGATACGTCAACAATTCCCCTAGGCTAGTAGACGTCAACATTTGCTTAGGGTAGCTAAGTAGTTCTAGCTTAGATCTGGACACGCGTTCGGAGGGGACGGTTTTCTGGCAGCAATTGATGTGACAGAGGTGTCTGTGCAAATTGTTTTCATCATCATAACAGCTTGGGCTCCCACTTGCATTTAAAACTTCCTTATTTGAGTCCGTTCCCTTTTTCTATGTTTCCCTCGTGTCTACCACTTCCTCTTTTCATTTCCTTCTTCTCTTTCTTTCTTGTCAAGCAATGGCTTCTTCTAACACTAGAATCGCTCCTTCCCCAAGTGAGTTTTCGAGTCTGCAAGAGCGGTTTGGGTTTCTTCTCGAGCATGGCATAGAATACAGTTGAAAGGGGTCCATCATTTCTTGTTCGAAGGAGAGGAAGATTGGAATTCCCATTCCGATCTTTGAGGCGGGGCTGAGGTTGCCGACGACAGATTTCTTTGACAAGATTATACGTCAATGTGGACTCTGTATGGACGACCTGACTCTAAAAGCCATCAACAAGATCGCCAGCTTCGAACTTACTTGTCGGGCCCTCGGAGTTTTGACACATTTCTAGGCTTTCAAGGCTTTCTTCAATTCCTCCACTTAGTTCGGTGCCCATACTTTTTCCCAGAGGAGGAGTGTTTATGCCTTTATCATCAATTAGAAAGCTCCGAAGAAGAACTAGAAGGATCGGTGGCTTTGGGTGAACCATAATTTTTTCGGTTTTGGTTATCCTCACTTGACCACTTTCTCTGATCGGGCTCCTGAATTGTGGGGTGCCAGTGCCACCATGGTACAGGCGCTGAAAACCATCTGCATTAACAGTGAGGATTGGGAGGACCACATGCTTGTTGTGGTTGGGATGAGCGCTACCTAGAGGACCCAAGGGATTATGGCCCAGTTCTACATCGAGAAAGACAACCCAGGTCTCACCTTTCCCAATATATGGTGGCATATGATTGGGGTTGTCATGCTTTTCCCCACGCCACCATCGAGGCCTTAGAGCTTCTCTTGAATGCTCATCTTTCTAACAATATCTTATATGCGGCTGCCCAGGTTGGTTCATATATGGTTGCGACTGCATCACGCCTTCGTCAAGGCGATTCCACTTCTGGCGAGCTCGTTCAGATCAGGGTTGAGCGAGACGATTTGAGAGCCAAGTTGCTGGTGTTAAAAAGGGAGAAGATTTTGTTTGAGGAGCACTATGATCTCCTGGCGGGGAAGAAGACATCTTCAAAGGACAACGTTGTTGCTTTGGACGGGTAAATGAAACATTTCTCCCAGCGTATCAAGGTGTTGGTGGAAAAGAAGAAAGTGTTTGAGGACCAGGTGGATCATGCTAACAGGAGGTTGGGGGAATAGGTGGTGAGGAGGAAGAGCGTGGAAGATGATCTAGGGTGGCTGCGTCAGAAAGGAATTATTCATGTGGTGGACAAGGTGGTTGAAAGTTCTGAGTTTGCGATGGGAGTGAAGCGGATGAAGATGGCGTGCATGGTCGCTAATGTGGAGAATAACTAGCATGAGGTCCGGGAACAAGTCATTACTGGGAAGTTTGCCCATGTGGAGGCAATTTCTACCACGGAGCATACTCAGGCGATGCACACTGTTGTGAAAGCGTTTATGGAAATAAACTTTGCCTCTTACCTCCGCATGGGCGAGCTTGACATGGTAGACCTTCTCCAGTTGTGTGATAACTCTGAAGCCGAGGATAGTCAGGTTGAAGGTGGCTCTTCCCATGTTGGTTCTTCCCCTAGTAAGTGATTGCTTTTATATCTTCTTTGAATAATTCAAGACAATGTTTATGTTTGTTTGGTACTTAAACAATTTTTCCCTGCTTTTCTTTGGCCCTGCATGGTGTTTGTGCAAATCCCAAGGGGTTCTCCATGTAGAGAATTTATTATGTGTATGTTAAATTCCCCTTCTTTTGGTCTGTTACGCTATTGTTTTGTGTTGTCCTTGTGCTTGATGGTTTATGTTGGCCATCTTTGGCTTGAATTCTTCCCAGAGGTTAGTGTCACCCTTTTGGGGATGTTTATAATTTTTTTTCTTTGATGAACCAAAGCATCTGAGCCTGTCGTTCGTCCTTTGGCCAAGACTCGTAGTGTGAGGCTTTGGCTGGCTTTTAGGTGTGGGCCCTAGTTGGCCTGCTTCGTTGGAACGTCCTTTTATTTAGCTAAAGGTCTTTGTTTTGCGACGTTTTTCTATGCCGTGAGCCATGGAGATTTGGACTCTGGCCCTTGTCATCTAAACAACATCGAGATCATCACCTCGAAGTCTAGGAGTTTATATGTTTCGATGGAAAGGTTATGATCCTTTAAAGCCTCTTATGTGTCATGATCAGGCGTTGAGGTCTACTGACCTTGTTGACATGTTTGTTAGGGGAAATTATGAGCCCTTGAGGCTTGCAATTGTGTTTTCCTCCATGATGTTATGCGACACGGATGATCAGTCCATTTTTGTTTTCCGTTTTTACGAATGTATATTGATACTTGTTCGTTTTAAATTTTCATTCCATATATATTTTATTTATTGTCTTCGAGACACCTACATCATTTAGCTAGGTCTCGACGGTTGGATAGCTGATGTTATTCAACTTCTAGGTCTTGTACTGGCTAGTTAGGGTGTGATTATCATGTGGGAGTTTGATCACATAGCCCGTTCTCCTGATTCCTTCAAAGCTAGGACCATTGGATAGGGCCTTGCGGCTCCTAGGTCATCGGGATGAGTCCTTCTTCTTCTTGATCCTTCTTACTCTATGCCTTTCCTGTGCTTAGTAGTTGTCACACCCCCAAACTGGAGCGGCGGAAATGTCCGGGGGTGGATGACTTCATGTTAAGTATCACAACACAAGCA